GGTTCATCCAGACAACAAAGGGATGTGCTCCTATTATGTCGTTTTGCTCAATTATAATTTGACCTATAACGAAAGATAATACATCATTTTCATATAATTTTCTACTGAGTCATATGGAGTCTTCTTTAATCCATCCTGGCACCGAATAAATCGCTACTACAACCTTCTCATGGGCAATGAAGGGGTGGTAGATGTAGGTTGAGATATTCCAAAACTTTCCTTACACTAAGTGATGCTTCTCAATAAAAAATGAGTTTCTTTGCAATACCCAAAATAGTCGAGTCTCCTGAAAAGTTCAATTTTTCTATACATCGTCTCATTCAAAGGGCTGGTTGGAGCCCTTAGAGTTGAATAGGGATGATGCTGCTTGGTGAATATCAAGACAGTACATGGGGCTATTCTTGGTATAAATTTCACACCTCTAGCCTGGCTATAGCCAATTTTACAGCGCTTCATTAAACCGCATAAGCACTCTCAATTTGCGGAAAAAATCCCAAAAGTAGACGGCGTAACGACTCGTTAAATCGCCACGTATCGTTAGTTTCGCTCGAGTTCGAGTCGTTGTCGTGCTAACCAACCGTTTTGGGCCGATATTAGTGCATAAATCCGTAGGCAAATTTCGAATTTTCAACGAAACGTCGCGCCGTAAATTAGTCAACGTGCACTTAAGCAGACGCGGCGTCGGCGTCGGCGTCGCGAATTGACGCGTCACGCTTGTACGGACGAATTAGCCGAAACGCGGTCCTTTTACTGGCTTTCCTACGGTAATTTGGATGTAATTAATGGGTGATGGAAAATAAAAGGAAACGTTTAGTTATATACTGTTACGCTTATAGTGTATAGAATCGACGCAACGAGTAAATATAGCGTAAGAAATTATTAGATTTTTTGCGTTGCTAAAATAGCAACAGTATAGTGTAGATAAAAAGTGATATACACACACTCAAAAATGTTTTGCATATTATATAGTTGAAATGCCACTGCCTATTTTTATGCCCTGTTTTTATTGTTAATTTTAAACGATGTTTATGCCTTTTGGAAACTAATTTTGATGAGTAATTTTACAAATAATTCGTTGTATTAAATTTTTATTCTTTATGCAAAACATTTTTGAGAGTGTACATGCAGTGTGTCTGTAAGAAATGATCCAAAAGTGAAGGGGAAGATTCTTCTGGGCCTCACAATATTACGATCTGACCCAACTTACTTTAGTAAAATATTGAAAATAAAAAAGAAATAGAGTGTCAAAGTTGAAATCAAAAAAATGATTTTTCACAGCAGTTTGAAAGATTTTGGATGTAGTGAAAATTAGAATAAAGGTGTTTCAATGCACGAGAAATCATAATATGATAAAAACAATTTAACAAAAGACATTTCAACTTCATATGTAATATGGAAAACATTTTTGAGAGCGTGTAATAAACTGCTCCACAAAAGTTAAGGACGTTCGCAAATTTTGCAATTATTTTAAAAGTTACAGACTTTTTGATCACCAAATTTTTAAATATGCGAAAATAAATGTTTTCTCTCATATCTGAGTGGATTTTTTGCCCCTATGTACCTCTACAACTCATACTAAATTTATTGGCGATCCAAAAACCTGCAACTTTTAAATTAATCTCAATATTTGTGAACTTCCTTAACTTTTGTGGAGCAGTATATTTGATACTGGTTGCTGTATATAGGTAGGTAATTATTTTTTTCAGTGTATCTAATACTAGTAAACAATATCAACTAAAAAAAAATGGTTAATACCACAGTGTCTCATCCCGACGTCTGTCCAATAAATCCCCGGGCCGGGCGTTATTTTGTCCCCGGTCGCGGAAGGTGCAGGAGTAATAGGGCAATAACGCTAATAGCCGGCGGAGCGGCGGTCGGGAGGCGGCGGGTGCCGGGCGTAAAATGCATCGAATGTTTTATTCAAATGACGTCGGCGGGGCCGTAAATCAAGCGCCGCTCGGACCGCGGACCACCCGTGCGAGCGCCCAGTGGCCTCGCCGGCTCGGACACCCGACACCCGACGCTAGCGCCAAAAATGTTAACAAGACACATGACAACCGCCGCCCGAGGTGTCGCCCGGGCCCCCGAATATCTCCCTCGAGATGCCACCTTTTTTTTTTTTTAATTAATATCAACCGGCATGCATCGTTAGCGTTATTAATGATTTTGAGGTATTTATGTAACGTGTAATGGTGCATTTTTACTGTATTAATGATAAGATTAGGTGTTATCTGGGTGCGGGTATTTGTTTAATTGAATTTGCAATAGATTTATAGTTTCGTAATAAAACTGGATTCTAGTATCTATAGTACATATTTATTAGTGGAAAGTTTACAGAAATTACATGAACAAATAAGTGAACTTTTTCTGTAAGTATACCTACCTAACTTTTACATGAAACATAAATTTTTACACTAAGCAGGGTAGTTACTCAAGTTGACCGTTAGAAAACATCCCAACTATCCGCCGAATTTCTCACATATTTATAATATTATGTAACATACGCGATGCTCCCTTTGGGGAATGGCCTTATTAGCATCATTATCTCCTTAACAAGCGCTACCATTATCATTGACGTTATACCTAAATGGCGTCATAATGAGTCGGTATTCACTACCGAAAGGGATATATCAAGTGAGTTAATACCGGCCCTAATGGGACCCGCAGTTCGCGTAATGCGCCACAATCGCTCTAATTAGAGACAAATGTTCGCCCTTTCGCTTTTAGTCAGGACTTTACCCGGGACCTCCCTGTCGCCGGTGACTAACTTATAGAGGTGCATTTTCCACCATAATGCTGGTTGTTTGCTCGAAAATTTAGGGATGGTAAAAAAATTCACTCATACAACTTGCAACACAAAAGCTATTTAATTAAAAAAATGCAAAACAAATATTGATGCACGTTATACTACTGTCGTCATACTTGCCAAGCATTGTGACCAACTTTTGAAAATATAAATACACAAAATAGATGAGGCTTAATACCTGCAGAATTTAATTTAATATTAACAAGGGATTATAGAAAATGTTAAAAAGCAGAATTAAATCATCCAAAAAAATATTGAGTTGTCAAAATTCAACGTTTGTGTATAAAATTATTATTATTTTCTTATATTAGGTGTGAAGGCACTGACTGTCATTTTGCATACTTTTAATTTTCAATGTCTTCTTCGTTTTTCTAGTTTTTTTTTAGTTTCATGTTACAAATGACACAATTTGAGCTCTAAAATATTCAGATTCTGAAGTTTTCTCAGAAATTTTACTATGTACTTATTTAAGGATCAATTGTGCACTACATTTTTTACTCGCAATGTTAAATATATTTCAGATGATAAAAAAAATTGATGAACAATTATAGTGAATCCCTGAATACATCCACCGTTTAGAAACGTGAAACAGGTACCCCTAATTTTCAATTAGTTCTTGTCATTTTGCCATTTGATAATTTTAGAAAATTCTTATATTTTTTAAACTCTATAAAAGTTCGGCAACACTGCCTATACGAGGGAAATAAATTATAGGTGACGTGCATCGATATTTGTTTTGCTCGAACAATATTTAATATTCATCCACATAATTTTTGTAGCCACTCTGTATCATATGATTTGAGCGTATGTTCGTTCCGCAATCGCCGAATAACACACACACACCAGCCATCGCCGGCGGAACGGGCGATAAATCGAGCCGATGTTATTAGTTTTCGATAAATTATAGCGCAGAGGGGTTGGAGTTTAATCATTTTCGTAGTTTATTTACTGGAAAACATTTATCGAGTGGCGAGCGCGGAACAGATACGGCTCGCGGACGGGAAAATAGCGCTCGCCGAACGACCGAACGTCGAGTGATTTATGCGCGCTTAACGAAATTTTAACGCCGTCAAACCGCCGTAAAAACGCGCGTGCACCGACGAAGGAGCGCGAGAAGAGACCGTGTGATTTAATGGCGATTTATTTTAAGGTTTTACGATAACGTGCGTATGTGTAAAGTACGTAAAGTGGTGCGAAATTGTTATTTATGTAACGGGTTCGCTTCATTCCGCTCCAACCAGATATTCCTATTATAAAAAACCTGCGTTGTATTGGGTGTTTATATGCGGCGAAAATTCAAGGGGTTGTTCCTCTAAGAAAATTCCTTCTCTTGTAACGAAGATACAGAAAGTATTTGGGTGCAGTTATATCGTGGGTGTTATAATAACGAGAAACTCTTTTAAGATGCGACTAATGCTCGCTTATCGCTTGCGAATATATCTCGTTACGTTTCATAGCGGACGTGACCGTAAGCGAAAACACCGAAAGTTTCCTAACAACTCGCCCAGGAAGAGCTCTCGTGCATCCATCAAGCGCTGCAACAATTAATTTCTTGCTATGAGCCGGCGGGGCGCGCGGGGCTTAGGATTCGTCTTGATGGATTTTTGCACTTAAAACGGATCGTCCGAAATATATTTCCATAAATAGACCGGCCGGAGAAATGTGTACGAACGATATTTATGATAGTTCGTTGCGAGTTAAATGGCCGTCATTACTCAAAGAGAACTCTCTCGGATGATCTATCGCCCGATCTCTATCCCGACCTGCATTCGAAATGTTTTAATAATGCCTTTTTCTCTGCTTAGTATAATGGGTGATTAATAATATGCTGGCCGGAAAGCGTGCGAATACGAGCGATTTTTATCGCTAGTGAAACGCTTTATGTAAACCGGCCTTAATTACAATACAATGTTTTTAATCTAATAGTTATAAAAAAATATTGATTTCTGTATATAACTTTTTCACTCTAACTACTGTTGTTTTAATAATCTTTTAATAATCACAATATACGAAACTTGGAATGTGTTAATCAGGTTATAGGATATGAAATGAAAGATATAGTTTAACTTTTGAACAATAGATATATTCGATCAACTAGTATTTATAATTACATTTATATATTCCTACCGAACATTGCACAATTAACTATTAAGTCTAAACATATCAGTCTGTATCGAAGGCTCTTCATGAAATAAAATAATACAAGTACATATCTAACCATCAGAAAAGCGGCTCATATAATAACTATTCATCACGACGAAATACTACGAAAAGCTTCTTTTTTTATAATAACTATACGTATACCGTGATATGCCAAAAAACGAAACGGTTTTTAAATCTACACTGTACACTATTTACAATATAAAATATTTATACATGTTTTGTACAAAATAAATACTTGAATTGAGATCGTCAGGAAAAAACAGCTCGAGGAAATTGGTGTGCGTACAGAAAAACGATAAATTATATATCTACAGATTTCAAATTTAACACTGTATAATATTAGAACCAATATAGATGCATACCTATATCTAGCGTATAGGTAATATTTTTCCGGAATTGCCTATAGCATCCCCAAATCCACGAACTAAAAGAAGAAACATTTAAGAGGACAAGGGCATGTCGTCCTCGTCGCAGGGCACCGTCGAATGATTGTACAAGCCCTGGGCCATCAGCTGCAACGCCAAGGCGTTCTTCTGGCCGGAGGACTTCTTGATCTTGGCCCGCTTGTTCTGGAACCAGATCTTGATCTGGGCCTCGTTCAGGCCCAGCTCGGCGCTCAGCTGTTGCCGCCGTCTCTCCGTCAGGTATCTGTTCTCGTTGAATTCGTGCTTCAATCGCTGCAATTGGGCGCTCGAGAACGCCGTCCTCGGTCGCTTGTCCTCCGAGCTTTTCGGGGATTTCTTCATTCGCCTGGATCTCGGTCCTGCAACAACGAAAATAAACCCTTCAAATATCTTTATACAACTACTGTTCGGTATATACAATGATTGTAATATAATCTATAGCCTTCTTGCATGATGCTTATTATAGGTGTGTTTATAATACCTGGTGTATACACGTTATTACGGATATCATTATTTATGTAGCTAATAAAATTAAATGGACAACTTACTATTAGGTATTTCGCTGTTTAATTCACCGATCAAATAGGAAAAAAATTACCTAATTCTAGATGGTTGGTTATCGGTAATGACACGTTGGAAAGTCGCCCGATGAAAAATAAAAGCCCTTGTAACTTTTTAAAAGCGCCATTAATCATTACGGGGAAAAATAACGTCGGAATTATAGTAAGCACAAACATTATCAAAAGCTCGTTAGTATTGTAATAACAATATAAAATGTTTGCACTCGGAACGAATTATTAATTAAATAATAACGGTATAGAGGTTTTTCTGTTTCGTTTCGGTTTGGTGTGGTTTTCTGATCGCTAACTGAAAATTAAATTTACGATCTTTCCACAAATTGGACTTTACTTTGTACAAATACGGGGTGTATGCAACGAATTATCGATTTTTATCGAAGTTAGTCACACCCTGTATGTTACATAAAATTGCCTGTATCAAGTACATTCGGTATCGCCGAATTAAGAGAAATTAATTTACGACACGCGAGGATCGCATGCGTGCGCTTCGGTTTATGAATTACAACGTATACACCTTAACGACTATTCATCCAATTGAATTAGTATTTTCGAAATTACCCCAGTTTAACTAACGGTAACGATGCCATCGCGATTTCGAAATTAATTGAATTTTCAGACGTCCATCAGCTCGCTTAATACACGCTCCCTGATATATGCCGTTGGATTATTATTATTGCATATGCTATAAACATGTTGTATACCTACTACATAATTTTGGTTTAGCTTTAACTTTGGCTCGCTCTGTATATGATGCATTTACAACGCGATTTTGTCATTTTACTGCGACATCACGCGAGATGTCCTTTGTCTGTGATAAAAAATCGCGTACTTATATAAAGACAGTTTTTTTGGACCGTAATTTATTAATATTTCACACGAAGTTTCCTCGTTTTCATTTTTAAAAAATGTAAATTACCCACGTATAGGGTTGATGACAGTCGAATAAATCACTTAGGTAATTTCCTTATACAAGTTTTAAATAATTCATATCACCTATACATTTATGTATTTAATTAATTATCTTTTTGTCATCGAGGCAATTTAACCGCACCTATAAAATCCAATCCACGAATCTTTCCATCGGAAAACACCCCCTAAATTAACAATGCTCGTTCCATAGATCATTCCCGAATGGAAAGAAAACTTTCTCCGGCGCGTACGTTTCCTTCTCGACTTTTATGCGCATCCATTATCCGATTCGAAGGGGCTTTCCGGCTTCCGTTTTTTCGGAAAGCGGTTTTTATTCGTTAATTCGCCGCGTCGGGCGATAAAACAATGGAAAACGCACACCTTTCCTCCATTACTTCGCCCCGAATCGGCTCCCTTAACGGCGCATTTTCCAATGATTGATTCACTTTCATCACGAAAAGCCCCACATCGAGCGTGGAAAGAAAGATTTCCGCGATAGAGGAATGCAAAAAATTCTCCAGAAAACTGATATATTAGTACCTATGTAGAATCGGACTTAAAACAGCAATCAAAACCTTCGTAAAATCGATTAGTTCATGTAGAAAAGTTTTTTAGTTTTGTTGAAAATAGAAAATATGGTGGAGGATCTCCAGCGCCTCCACCATTTTTAAATAAATTCATTTTTGTATACTTAATAACACCTATATTTTTAAACGAAATGAATGCGCGTCATTGGGTATGGGACTACCTAATTAGAAACGGGTTGAAGGAAAAATCGACAAGCATCTACCCTAATCAAAATTCCAGGGAATTTCAAATTCAAATGCCGTCTATTGTGTCGCCGATTTCGAGCCGTAGAAAACGCCGTCCGGCGGGCCCTAATGGCTCATTGTCTCTTATCAGAAATCGATGGAAAGGTATAAAAGAAAACGGCGTTTCATTTCGACACGTCAACGCCGGGCCCGCGACCCCCCCGCCGCCCCTCCCTCTAACAATAGCGTTATATTTCACGTCGATGATGGGAATTAATCAAGAGCGCGAGCGCATTCTATTGTTTGGAGAGGCTGACTGCGGGACTAATTAGTCGGGGGCTCCCGTATTTCAAGCGGGATCAGATAAGGCGGGCGCGCTGGAGGTTATCCCTACAACAACCCCCCTTCGGGCCCCCCTTCACGAACTGATAAACCGTGATGTATTAGGGGTGGAAATCTGGGGCGGGATTTTTTTTGTGCAGGTAAAAATCGCGAGAGGATTAATTAAATGTTAGGAGATGAGTGTTTCGTATCGTTTTAATTAAGCATTGTACGAAATGCCGATGAATTAATACAATAAAATTTCGAACGAATGATTGGAAAAAATTATATCGAGCGTTTTATGGCTTTCTTCGTCGAGTTTTTTATATGCATTGAGAATATTAATCGGCACGGGAAAATTAATAAATATAAAAATATATAATTTTCACACCGCATAATCAACAATGGCAATTTTATTTAGACGAACGGTTTGTTTTAGTTTTATAGTAAATATAATAAAATATAACAATTTAATAGTAGCACGAGTATATCTACTGTGCAATTGTTCGATAAGTTTCTATTAGATTAAAATATATTTGAAATTGTATTAATTCAAAAAGCTGTTAGTATTAGTCTATAAAATTGGGACAACCGGTATAAGGGATATAACGAGCAGCAAAACGCAAGACTAATCGCTATTTATAAAGCGATATCGTCTCACCATTTTCGAAAATCTCGCTAATTTCAACTTGTCGACGAACCGAAAAAAAAAGCACACCATTTAAAAAGCACTTAACTCCGGCGATGACGCGCCTTTAAAATTCCTGCTCGCCCGTTTTCATCGGCCGGGGAATTTTCATTTTTGATGACATATTAATAAACCGGCTGGTACGAAAATCGAAAGGCGAAATTACAGTTTTTCGTTTGATATATTTTCCGGCCGGAGTGCGCCGTAATTTTCCCGTTTTTTCCACGATTTATCGGTTGTTTATAGAAGGGGCGATTGCCTTTATAAGTACATCATTATTTACCCAAAGTGCTTATTTGTTCCAATTTATTCACGTAAATAATAACCCCATTATTACTACTATAGGTTTAATACAAAATATTAATGAACGATTCGTCGAAAGGTTTACATGACGCAATTTAAAATAAATAAATCCGTTTGTTCCACAAAAATTTTCAACTTGTATAATAAACTCATCTTTCAAACGTCAAATTTGAAGTTTCTATTCCAAACTTCGCCCGGATGACAATCGACATTCAATCAAAGCCGGCTAGATGTTATTGTACAATAATACACAAAAACACACGAGTGCGAGTCGACTTGACGAAAATCGTGTTCGAATGAACGAAGATTGTTCGATAAATAAATAACGAATCGATTTGTTTTTCCGCCTTAATAGAAGAGGGAATTCGCCCGTCGGCGACGTGTGTGGTCCGCTTTAAGACGAACGCCGGTGACATCTCCCGGCCGGTCTTCAAACGCGAGTTCGTTGCCTCTTCGCCGCGATTAATCTCCGTAGATGTTAAATCAGGGAGACGGGGTGGCTCCTCCACGGGCTCTATTAGGGTTTAATTCGAAGTGGACGGGATTATTTATAGATGTGTAATTAACGGTGTTTGGAGCGTGGGTATTAAACATAGGTGTATTCGTGTATATTTAGAGGTGTTAATAATTATTCTAATTACGCGAAGATTATAATTAGATAAGTGTTAACGAGCTCTCTCTCTATAGCCCTGTTTTTTAATGTTTATGTTGCGACATCTTTATATCTGATTAACATTAAATGCTTTCGGTTGAGATTGGTTTGGGAGATTCAAAGTGGTTTGTGCGTGGATTTAACTTGGTAGAAAATTAGATATTATTTTTTGTAATAGCCAAACGGCTAATTATGGGTTTGTTTATTATCGAAAAGGTGCTTGTACTCGATGAATATTACGTTATTCGCAGTCATTTTCAAGCATAATTGCAAAATGTTTCTTGAAATCCTAATAATCGTTTTGTTTATAGCGACAAAAGAGTAATGTTAATTCGGCGTGAAATTTAAAATAATGAAAGTTTTAAATGATGAAATTATTGGTATATTAAAGATTCTTCATATACCTACCTAAATAACCATCAATTTGTAATTTTGTATTTATTTTTTCGATTGGAGAATGCCGAAAAAATTAAGTGCTACTGTGACAGGATCTAAATTTAACGGAAAAGCTATTATAGTTTCTCCCTAATTATCCCCACAAATTAGTAATTAGTTATGGTGGTGTCTATTACTAAAATTGCACTTAGCATTCGTATATCATGCATATTCTATATAAAAAAATATTCAAATATTCAGCCTTGCTTGCTGAAATCTCTATCCAATTTGTATTGTATTTTCAATGGATATTGACCGATCATTGACCATCAAAAGTTTTATGAATTTACTTGAATGAATAAAAGTTTTAGGAAATGTATAGTAGGTATATCGAACACTTCCAATAAGCAGTTGATAATATAGTTCAAAAGACTACCTATTATAGTGATTTTAAAAGATTTATTTTGATGATGACTGTATTATAGGCTATTTTATAATGGAACACAAATTTGATGGGTGTAGTATTTATAAAAGTATAATTTTTTACCTGAACTGGGTCGATCCGAATACCTAGTGCAGTAGACCCACGCCGGCCACAACTTGGGCACACCGCCGTCGCCGCCCTCGTCCTTCTTAATCTCCTCCGGATGAGGTAACATCTGAAGGGGGCTCCTGGCCCTCGAAACCGGCTCCGGCGACCGGCCGATCTGCGAAACCGCCTGCCGCAAACCGCCCAGCGAGCTGACCGGCTCGCCCTCGTACGGCCTGAACGCGCCCGCCGGCGGCGTCCTCGTCTTGGAGACGGCCGATTTGCCGAACTCCGGCCGCAGGATGTTCGTTATCGAATATTTCAACGTCTGTATCTGCACGGGCGGCTCGTCGCGCTCCGCGGAAGCGACGCTGTCCGCCGGCGACGGCGACCGGCGCCCGCCCAGCGCGAAATTCGTTATCCTCAAGAAGGGTTTCTGGTGGTGGTGGAGCGGCGGCGACGCCGCCCGCCGCCCGTCGATCGTCGTGCACGTGTAGGTCGACGTCCGCGTCGGTTCCGGCGAATTCGGGTGGACGCCGAGCGTGGCGGCGCCGGCGCTCGGACTGCGTCTGTCGTCGAGCGCCATCGGTGGATCGCGGTTCATCGATGGCTCCGAGAGGATGGATCTCCACCTGTTATATCTAAATACCCGGGGAATATAACGGCGAGGCACGATCACACCGCGCGTTTCTCTCTGATGGGTACTCGCCGGCGAAACGGCGCCTGTCAAACTGGAGTGAGATTTCAAAATAGTCATCTTTATCAGGGTGGCGAGGTTCCAGCTTGGCCACGCCTACTAAGACATGCGCCGCGGATTTAGGAGGCCTCGATGGCGGTGATTCCGGCCAGGACTCGCTCTCTCGCTTATGTACCGGCTTATTAAAAACCTTCCGACTAATTAAACGTCTATCTCATATTATTTGCGATTCTCCTTTTGATACGCCACCAAAACGCTGCAAAGAATATATATTGCGGAATTTATTGATTTCTTCATCTCCACTAAACAATCAACTTCGCCTTCGATAATTAATAGAGATGGGATAACAATTTGCATCAACATACAGTAATTAATAAAACAACTCTATACACTTCATTTCTATACAGATCCATAATATATTTTTAATTGTCAATTAAACTTTTATTGATTGACAAATCACTGTCAAATGTCTATCTAATAAATGCATTTTGAATAATTGACCCATCAAAATGTCATCAACAGATTTTACAAACATTATTGATACACCCTATGGAATAAACTGAAAAATACTATAAGTTACTAAATACCTAAACCAGATACTAGAAATACTAGAAACTAGGTATACCTACTATAGATACTAGGCCCCTAAGTGCACTTGTAGGCTATACTAGGTATACTAGATGCCTTTTGATATGCTAGATTGGGTATAATAGTTGCAAAAGGTCTACTAATAGACGTACTAAGTGTGTTATGTATGTTATAAGTTCTTGATAGGTATATCTACTAGGAATTAGGCATAGATACTAACTACTAGATATAGGTACTATGCACTAGCTAAGTGTTAGTAGAACATCTCATCCATCAATTAGATAACTTAATATCATGCCTACGAAAGTCTATATGAAGGCGTTGTAACGGTGACAAATAACGAAACGGGTCCCATCTCTATCGGTCGGTCTTATACGTCGATACCGGGCCCCGGGACGTCTCACTCGCGTCAAAGGAGCGCCGATGGTGGTGCGGGCGGAGCCAAGCGATGTTGAGTAAACGATTGGTATGGTCCGGGCGGTGGGGACGGCCCGGCGGCCGGGATTGAGATGTAAAGCTGTTAGTTTTTGCGGAATTGGGGGCCGAGCCAGCGGGAGAATCCGAACCTGATAATTCAATATGATAGGTAAAAGTAACGCGGATTAATAAGCGGCGAGGCGAGCGATAGCGATTCGAACGCGGCGTGGAGGAGAAGGCGCGATTCGATGAGAGACGAGAATACGGTTCTGTTGTCGTTGTTTGTTGTAATAATCGAGGGATCGGATTGGGTTTTTTTTTATTTTTATTTTTCGGTAGCGAAAGCGTATTTGCACAACAGATGTGTGTATTTAGGTGTGCGTGCATGCATGCTTATACAGGGCGGTTGGCTTGCCGAGTTGCCTGGATAATTGGCACACATGGATGGTTAAATATTATAGATTAAGATTGCATTCTTCAACCTAGGTGTAGGTATCTAAAATAGACAACTATAGTTACACACAAAAATTTAAACAAGTATTCTTTTCTTTTTCTATAAGGTAGACTGGGGGAAATCGGTTGTAAAATTTGAATAGTTCAAATTAAATCCTAAAATGTGGCTTTATTTTTTCTCTTATTAGAAATGCTGATACCACATTAAATTCACAACTTCCTAAACTAAAGAATCGAGGTATACTAAAAAGTTTTTTTTGAAAAAGGAAGAAAACGATTTTACATATTTTTTAAAATGGTATACGGGGTATAAATGTAACAAACGGCTCTAAAGTGCAATACAATTATATAGAAAAACATATGGGGCAATTGTAAATACATATTTGGTTCCTCTAAAATTTGATACATGCTTCAAAAAATAACAGAGCTTCAAAATAATAAAGAAAAAATAAGAAACAAACCCTGTCTAATGCACAAAAGAACTATAAAAATAATAAAAACATTAACATAATAGGTAAAAATATTACATTTACCCTTATAGTCTACCTTATTGATGAATGCAAAAAAAGAACCGATTCTCATTCAGCGATTTCCTTCTCTATATATTTCGAGCGGAAGGCTTCGAATAAGAGGCAATATCGCCGGCTGATCGATCTCGAGAGCCTTTTACACACCCCGAACACATACACGAATAAAACACAACACCCCGCTTCCCCCTAGTCGCCCGGCCGAACCCGATTCATTTCGATTTTATTCACAAGTGATGTAGAAAATTGGATTTCTCGCCCTCTCCTCCTTGCTCGCCTTCGACGCCGGGAAAAAAGGTGTAAGATTCCATCCGGGCGTCGCGACGCGAACTAGCGGCGCCTCCGCCTTATTTTCCGAACGCGTTGATATATAAAAATCGAAACTCTTATACAACACAATCCCGGCATTTATTATGCTAATTATTTTCTATATAAAATTTTAATTATTTTGTAGTCACTATAGATATATCTATCTTATCTGATGCAGATAGTTTCTATTAAAACACAGTTCTAATAACATCCGCGTCCCGTCGAGAAGACAACTCCATTTAAAATTTCACAAAAAGAGCCCCTACCTTTAGATAAATAAAATGCAATGCTGCAGCCTTGACATACACATCGCATTAGCAACGGGCATCAAACGAAATCTACCATCTCACTATCGCAAACAGTTTGTATATATATGCAGTTTGCGGTTTTAAATAGGACAAAGGACATCCGAAGGTCCTTGTCGAAAGAAATTTATTATCGTCCGCACTCCAGTCTAAATATTGACGCGGGGTGTAGCGGCTTTTCGAATCGAATCCTCGCGTACAAGGGGGAGACAATTCGCCCGACGGGGGGCGGCTGTGCGACAACAAGCCCCCCCGGGGGCTTTTACCTAGTTTCTTTTTTTTTGCCCGATTTACCTGTGCTTTTCGAGCACGATGTTTCTTGTGTAAAGTCAAAGCAAAAGGTGTTGCAAAATGATTTGTTCTATATAAAATTAGTTGTGTAGACTTAAAGGTGTTCCAAATACTGGTGTAATTGGTACAAAACATGTTAAATTAAACAATTTTTTGAATTCGTTTCTTGTAAATTGCAAGTTATTATTTTCTTTGCTGAGTTCGTTATATCTTCGTTTATATTTTTTTCCTCGGTTATCTCATATAATATTATTATACGCGCATAGGAAATATTCCGCTTGTACAAAATATATATCGCACCAGCTGCACGCATTTACATACCTAACCGCATTAAAAGCCATAAAACGGCTTTCGTTCGACTCGATAATAAAATAAGATCTTTTTGAAATGCAAATAACGCACTTCTTTTGTACCGCTGCAGTTACACGCCGTTGCATTACCGGATTTAACGTGCACGTAAGGTATATACGAGCGAACGGCTCGTTAAATTAATAACCGGGCTGAAAGGTCCGAAAAGATACTCGTCGCGCCATCTCGCCGCTAACATCAGAAGTTTGTTTTATTCTGTGGGCTAAAGAGAAAAAATTATTATATCCAATCAATGGAAATATTGTTATTATATATAATTAAGTTAATTTTTATATGCGTATAGGTACCTAACGAAGATATATTTTTTTGAGTTTATTATGTAGATTGAATGAGCTAGAGGTTTATTAAACATTCTGTACATGCCATGTTTATTATGAAATGAAAATTGTATAGGGGTAATGTGATAGAAAATAAAAATGATTGAGAAAATGGGTATAGAAAAAGTTAAGTTATAATAAGGCAAGATGTGAATAACATATTGCGTATTATTAAATTTATTTTTAACGTTTTTATTATAGAAAACATAAATATATTAATTTATAAGCATTAATCGTAATAACGCATTAATTATAATAATCTTTATGGATAATAAGAACGTTTTAATAAGAACTTTCGATATGGGTATAAAATGTTTAGTTATAACAATGAATTTATGTCGATAACTTCGTTTATTCAATTATTAACGCTGATAAATATCGTTGTAAAATTAAGGCCTTTGAGCATAACAAAAAGTATAGAAAATATTGCGCGTAAACTATATTTTACTCATTCAGGTATAGGTATATAAAATGGGAAACTAAAAACATGCTGGAAATAATCATATAAACGTTCGCTTAATTACTTTCTTCGGTCGAAAATGTTTCTCGTTTGTAAAAGCAATTACCTTCTTTCGAAGCGCGACAGTAAATTAAACAAAGTAATATTAATAACGCCTTAGTAACAGCGACAACCCGAAAGAAATTTACAGCTAGGTAAATTGCAATCACGCATCACGCTCAACTACCATCATAACCAACGAAAAACCGTCGTTTTTATACACTTCTAACTTCATCTCGACAACGCCGAGCATTTTATCATTCATTTAGCCATTCGCCCTCTCGCCTAATCACCGCCGCGTAAGCGCTTTCCAGCATGTATACCGTAATTAACGTAAAGCGCACAGAGCGCGAAAAACGCTAAATTACAAGCGACGAGTCCATTCCATCCATTTTCGCGCTTATCTCCGTCCGCGCGGATAGCCTTTGCGAAGGAAGCTCCGAGATAGAGCACGGACCGTCGGTTACACAAAGGCCGTAGCAGGATAACTCCGAGTTATTCCTGCGAACGGCGGGGGTTCTACGCAAATATCTCCCTTCGATGTTTGCCTGTTATACGTATAACGAAAAGTGAAAAGTTTTATTCATTTTGTCGCGTTATGTTAAAGTAATTGTAGATTGCGTTATTATACAGATGAATGGAGTAGAAGTGCTAAATTTATAACCATAAATTTAATAATACTCTACCTAATAGCTTTTTCTTAGTGTACAATTGACTCAATTAGGCGTGTAAATTACCCTCTTAATTAGACAATTTTGGATCTTTCGGTTATACATATACAATTGATTGACTTTCTTGAAAGTTTGACTCTTTTTTTAATTGACTCTCTTTGAGCACTTAACTCATTTGAGTACAAAATTGACTCTCTTGAGCCTTTAATTAACTCTTTTGGTTCCTTAATTGATTCTCTTTTGAGCACTTAATTAACTCTTTTGAGTGTACTTACATAATTGACTCTCTTGAGTACTTAATTAACTCTTTTGTT